CCAGTCCAGGATTGAAACAGGAAGCCATTGAAATGGAGAGAGCAACAACAAGCAAAGGATATATAACTAGTTAGCTGTTCCATGCAAAGGGGTGCGATGGGAAGAGGAAATTAGTGGCAGCTTATGATGGAAGGCAAAATGAAGAAGCCCAGACTGTAGGTAAGCCATGGGTTCATGATTGGCTAGAGTTAACCTGCCAGCAGGACCATACTTCACTCTGTTGCTTTGCAAGAACAGGGGAACACTGCTGATCTCCCCAAACATTACAGTATAGAATCAATAAGCTATAAGCACAAAGAGGGATGGCATATTCAGACAGGAATTGGTCTGTTTAGAGTGTGAGGGGGATGAAATTCATTTCCACATTTTTCCAGCATACACTTCTTAAACCCATGTGCAAACCAGAATGCAGTGACTTCCAAATCTCGTTTTCCACATTCACAGTTGGGAGTTTCCCATCTGGAAAAATACATATATTTGTGGGGAATGTAGACAAAAAATAGTAAACAGAGTATGTATGCTAGAAAAATAATAAAACCGGAATCACAGGAATTCTTAAGAAAAGCTGTCATCGACGTTGATGAAAACAAACACTGAACAGTATTTTTTTTTAAATAGAATCATACTCTAATTGAGATGCTTACCCCAATATATGCTGAACAGTGCATTTATGCAAGAGAGCTGTGCTGGTGAAGAAGGTGAAGGAAAGTCAGCAATAATGCAAATTGCAGGTATGCTTTCCACCCACATCCAGCACAACTCCCACTAAATCCTGCTACATCATTCATCCTGGCACCATGGAACCAAGCAGTCAGAAAGTCAAAAAAATGACATTGCCTTTATCTTCAATCAGACTTCACTTTGAAATCTGTGTTACGTCCAGCACGATAGTACAACCCTAGCCAGGAAAAAGAAAAATGCTTCCCTGTTCCTCTGCCACCCTGCTTTGCTTCCCTGCTAATTCTGGAGGGTGTAATTTTCCCTTCTATGACCAACATGGAATGCAGCAAGACAGTCAAGGTAGAATTGGTTGCTCCATCCCTTCTTCATAGAAGGTCTTGAGAGAAAGCCTTATAAATACAAAAAACTAGTCTGGCACTAAGAATGGTCTTCTACTCTCTTTAGCTGACAGGGAAATGCTATGCTAACGTTCTTCTTCCCTTCCCTCTGCACTATAACTCATTATTTCATGCCACAAGAATGTTTCTGGTAACTTTTAAAAGCTGCTTTCTAGAGCTCTAGCATTAATGTCATCTTCTACTTGCACCTATTTTGTTCTACCATGCTCTTCCTGGTATCCAATAATATCATGCCTTTTGTTTCTTTAGATTTAGACCCTTCTTTCTTTCCAAAGTTTGGGATGTCATATAACTTCATCTCCCACCATTCCAGGTTTTCTTCTCCAAAGAATTCAGTGATATAGATTAAGCTGAGCAAAAAAGCATAGCTGATGAATACATCTTAAGATAATAAGCAAAAATATTAGCATAATTTTTGGTGGCTCAGATGTTCCTTCTATAGATGAATGAATCAGTAAACCAGGAAATCTTCCAAACTTGACTTTATCTGAATAGGAATATTAATCAAATTCAAAGTAAAGAATCAAAGACTGCCTTGTTCCAGAGACATTTAGTCATAGTTCCCTGACTCAGGAAAACTGGGAAACTGTAACACATGGAAGATTTCTAGTTTCAATAGAAGAGAATATATGTAGCTCAGAGTTGAACTGTGAAGTCATTGGTGCTCTCTGAGCATGGCACCAGATTCAGAAAACACTGAGGACTCCACTTTCTGGTTTGATGGTTCATTCATGCGCATAGGCAGAAATTTGACTACTGACTGGCCCAAAGTTATTCATAAGATACATAACTCTTATTTTAACATTGTAACCACACTATTTGACTGTAACTGCAACATGCAATTAACTTATGAATCTTGACATTTTTTATATTGAGCAAGAGATTTTCCATCCTCTGAGCCAATCATTAAAGAGGTATTCTCAATTAAAGAAGAATCATCTAGATATTTGAGTGGAGGAAAAGAGAAAAACTAGGTTCTTCTGAATAAGCAGATAGCTCTGCTATCTCTGCAAGGCATAAATTAACTGTGGCGGTGAACAACAGATAACATGTAATCTGCAAAGGAAAACAAGATGCTGCAGGCAATAGACAGGTAAGCAGATACTAATCCTACACCTACAGTAACAGGATTAAAACTGAATTACTGAACCACGCCAAGCAAAAACGATATCACTTAGACCAACATTTTGGAGACCAAGAGAAGCATTTAGCATTATTTTCCAGGGATGGGTTTGGAGGTATCTTAACTTCTTAAATATGCCCATTTCAAAATGGCAGGAAACTCTTTGAAGTGGAAGATCCCAGTGTTTGGGGAAATAGAAAGATAGCTCTACTATTTTGAGCACTTGGGTCTTTTCAGATATTCCTGTGTGGAAATTTTTAAATAATGGAAAAGCCTTCCAAAGAGGACTCTTCAAAGCACAGGTAGGCAAGGCTGCCTTACTCCAGATATTAGCGAACCATAACTCCCAACAGTTTCACTCACTTTAAGGGTGAGAGATCTAGAGCACCGCATATTTGCATCATGCTTTAAGGCTGAAGTGCAGCAATGAGAAGCTAATGTATTGGACCAGTCGAATATCAGAAATAGTTTTCATTAGTTGAAAACCTCTGAATATGGGGGCTTGTCAAGCCCCATACTATATGACCAAGGAATAAAAAAAATCATACTGACTTCAATAGGGAGTTTTAAAGCAAAATTAGGGATATGATATAGGACAGTGATGGCGAATCTATGACACACGTGCCAGAGGTGGCACACAGAGCCCTCTCTGTTGGCACACGTGCTGTCGCCCCAGGTCAGATCTCCGTGGCGTTTCTTTCGTGAGCTTCTGTTTCCCTGCAAACGACGAAACAGAAACTCATGAAAGAAAAAGATCTTACCTCTTGCTGCGCTGCTGGTGTTGGGATGCCCCGACTCCTGCCAGCCAGCTGGTCTTCGGGTCTTTGCTGTGTATGCGTGCATGTCCACGCATGCGTACATGTATGTTTGCACACATTCATGCGCGTATGCACCTTTCATCTTGGGCATACACGCACACGCAGTTTGGGCACTCAGTGTCTAAAAGGTTCGCCATCACTGATTATAGGATCTAGGAAACTGTGACAGGAACCCCAGCCTTCTTTTATAAGGGAGTTCATTAAGACGTAGTCCTTGAATATTTTGAATCTGATTCTTAATTGTTTCTACAGTCAACAACTTGGACATTCCCACAGACTATTGCTCATCTTCCCAAATCCATAGCTATCTTATTATTATAAAATCCATGTTATGTCACACATATTGCTAAACCAGGATTTAAATAATGGGTTTATTTAACAAGACACAAAAACCCAGTTTATATGAACACTATACAACAAAGGTAAGTTCATATATCACACCAATCTCCAAACTAATCAACTTCATTATGGCTTAGTAAGAGAGGTGATGTGAAATCGTTTCCAATGCACAAAGCTTTCATAAGCCTGACCATATTCTTCCAAATCTCAGATGTTTGCAAATAATAGTGCCAGTTTCTGTACACCCTGACAAATATGCTAATAATATATAGAGATTGAATTCAAATACCAATGATAAAAATATGCAGTAATAAGTCTTACTGGTATTTTAACATTCCTGTTATTGTATATTGATCTATTTTATTGATTTCATCCTGCCCCAAGATCCATTTATAAAGATCCATTTATAAAGGTACAGCAGTTGCAAATATTTTAATTAAAAATTGCTTCAGAATTAAAGGACTATCTCACTAATGTGGTTGGAACAGGGACTGCACTGTGAAATTCAAGAGGCGCTGAGAAAGCCTCTGGCTATCTACTTGATAGTTTTGACTTAAACTTTATACTTTTTGGACCCGAGTGTATTGGTTAAAGCATGAAACTACTTAAACCAACAGCCTCCTCCACATATACAAGAAATGCAATTAATTCTTGTTCCAACTGCTTTTCTTCCTGAAGGAAACTGCTTTGCTTTGAAGAGCTTCAAAGGGATGAACAATAAGCCATAATTTAGTGCTATGATAGAGCCTAGGACAACATGGTCCAGCCAGCATGAAAAAAGAGATTACACACGACTGTATTTGTTTCTAACCACCCCATATTGTTCTTATGCACCAACCACTGCATGAATCAGTTTTAACATTGTCTTTCCTGGAAGAATCAAGACAATAAATGACTGATTCAATCTGGTTTCTTCAAATAAACCATCATTAAAAATAAACACATTTACCCTAGCAGATCTGTTAATGACAAATTACTGTTCACTGAAATTACTGTCTCCCTCAATTTTCCTTTTGTTACTGCTTTGAAGGAACATGGCAAGATGATCTGAACACTTTTTCTAACAAGGTACTGATATATCTGAATGCAATTTTCTTATCTGCCCAAGCAAGCACAATATAATCTCTGCTTTTTTTCCACTTCCTAGTGTCTACTGAGGAAGTGATTCCTCATTCATATCAGAAATAAAAAGGAGGGGGAGTTGAGTCCAGCATGTCTGAGTTCATCTTAAAGAAAGAGAGAAAGTAGTGATGAATATTGTATTTTAAGGATGGCACAAGGGCTTTTTTAAACAGAATTTCCTGTCTAGAAAACACCACCTCAGAACAGATTGTGTTTCTCAGTAACTTCCTAGTGTAAAGTCTCTGGAATATTTGCATGTCTTATTAAAGTGTGAACAGGAGGTTGCAACTCTGACTCCTTTAGATCCTAGGGTCAATTACGACATAACTGGATGCTCTGAATTTAGTTAGAAAGAGGTTTTATTTCAGCGGGAATGTAGCAATTACCTACAAGTGCTCAATCTTGACAACTTTAAGCTATATGGATTTCAACTCCCAGAATTCCCCACTAGCATGTTCCCATGTCAAGGAACAATGGTCTGTGTTCATCTCTCAACAGGCCACATACATATATACTCACCCACATAATGCATATTAAAGGCCAAATACTTGTACTGGAAGAGGGGATTGTTGTTTAGGCTACTTCTTTGGATCTGTTGGAAAAAGGAACTGACATCCCATCGGTATAAGACATCCAAAAGCATGATGCTTGGCACCCGTAAGGCCACATTCAACATTGCTTCCAATTTCTCCTTTGCAGCCATGCTGTTTCTTTGTTGTGATGTGAGGCAGACTGTAAAGAACCAAAAGCAGCAAGTAAGTTTAACAGTTGCCATAGATGTAATATTGATGAACATTGCATTTATTTATTTTAAGATTTATAAGGCTATCCAATTTGCTGTGTGACTCTGGGCAATGTATCAGCAATAACTATCTAGCAACGAATATACAAATACAAAAGTGTAAAATAATAACCAAGCACACAACAAAACAACTTGGGGCAGGAGGTGCTATCACTCAATCAGCCGCTAATACCAGGGGGAAGGGCCAATTCTTAAGGCTTTCCTAAAGGCAAGGAGAGTTGGGGACAACTATATATTGGTGAGAGATCATTCCAGAAAGCAAGGGCAACCACAGAAAAGCTTCCTAAATGCCATAAGATGCCAAAACCCCTAGGGGAGCATATGGGGCTGGCTAATGTTCTTGGGAGGTGATCTGTCAAGTAACCCAGTCCTATCTCCATTACCGTTATCTTGAATCATACCCAGAAACCTACTAGGAGCCAGTACAGCTCACAGGGTTGCAGTATTTTGTGGTATAACAAGCTGAACCCATAACTACCCACAATGCTGCAATAGTCCAACTGGGAGGTGACTAAGGTGTGAGTGACCATGAACAGGGCCTTCAAGTTCCAAAATGAGTGTGACTGGTGCACAAGACCCAGTTGTGCAAAGGGTCCCATAGTTATAGCTGCCTCCTGCTCTTTCAGTGGAGATTGTTCACCAAGTCTGGATGCTGTAGTGCCATCTCATCCAGAACAAAAGATGGAAACTCTGCAAATTCCAATCCAGGAGACCCAAAACCCATAACCACTTAAGTTTTAACAGAGTTGAACAATAACCTATTCTGCCCCATCCAAATGGTCCTAGCTTCCAGACACTGGGAACAGACTCAGCACTTCACCAGGACAGCTGAGGACAGAGACATACAGCTGGGTATCATCAGCACCTAATCGTGAATTAAGTTATGACCTCTCCCAGTGGCTTTACATGGATATTAAAAAGGAGAGGGATAAGGCAGAGTCCTGAGGCACATGGTATATCATGGTCAATGGTACCAAAAGCTGCTGAGAGATCAAAGAGAGCCAGAATGGATGCACCACCACCTCACCTTGAGCTTGCCATAGGTCACTAACAAGCACAACCATACCATACCCAAGTTTGAATTTATTCAAAACTCTGGGTACATCCAATGAATATTCAAATATACAGTAGTGGCCAAAATTGTGGAAACCTTTTGGGAAAAGTGTATTTTTGAGGTTTGATAGTTAATAACACTACTTTTTTTTTTGCAGCAGTACCATAAAATTCCCGTATTTTTCAGAGTAGAAAACGCACCGGAGTTAAGACGCACCTTAGTTTTTGGGGAAGAAAATAAGAAAAAAACTGATTGGTGGGTGGATCGGCCTCCCGGAATACCCCCAATCAGCTGTTTCCAGAGGTGAATTTTAGCAACATGTTCTTTGGTTGTGAGCTCTGTGCCTTGCTTTTTTTCTGGTTCTGAAACTTCTGAAACTCTGTTTCAGAAAAAACTTTTTTTTCCTGCCTCTTAAAGCCTCTGAAAGAGGAGCTTCAGAAAAAAAAATGGCTTTTTTTTCTGAAGCTTCTTTCAGAGGCTTTTATTCTGAAGGACTATCTGTATTCTGTTCAATCTCTTTTCTTTGGTGTTGGTATGCAGATTAACCTCTTCCAATCTGTTGGTTATTGTCTCATTCTCCAGATTTGTTAACAGTTTGGTTAGAACCTTTACCGATTCTTCTTTTGTTGCTTGCCATATTATTTTAGATAAAAGCCTTTCAGAGGCTTTTTTTCTGAAGCTTTGTTTCTGAGGCTTTTTTTCTGAAGCTTCTTCCAGAGGCTTCTTTCAGCCTCTGAAATCTGAGTTTGTGAGGCTGGGCAGGGCTACATTCAGAGTATAAGACGCACCCAGATTTTCACCCTCTTTTTGGGGGGAAAAAGGTGTGTCTTATACTCCAAAAAATACAGTATATATCAATGGAAATATAATTTAATCAAGAATGTAATGCAACAAAGTTTGTTCAATTATCTGTATTCTATGAAACGTTATAGCCAAATAACCAGAAAAAGGAAGCACAACTTGCTTAGGTTGATATCCAGTAGCTTTCCTTCATCTGATTGTAGCTAATGAGTATGAGTGTTTAGAGAGCCAATCAGGTGTCATCTTGATTTTGGCAATGAGCCACTCAGATCACAGTAGGATTCAGGTATTGATGTCATGTATTGAAGCTGAGAGGAGGACATTTATCAGTGTGTTATGTGATCACTATCAAGTTGGTTGGGGTTTTTTGTGTTCTTTCATTTAGTGAGCTTGTAAAACATAATAAAATTAAAGTAATGGTGCAAAGAGTTGACTGGTCGTCCAGAAAGCGATGTAAAATAGTATTATTAAATGAACAAGGCTACAGTTATAAAGAAATTAGAAGAAAAATTGGTGGAAACTTAACCAAAGGTGGCATTTCTAAGTTTTTGAAGAGGTATAGGGAGACTCAGTCACTATAAAACCACACTGGTAAAGGCAGGAAAAGGTGAACAACAGCAATTGATGATAGAAGAATTAAGAGACTGTGTCTATGTGAAAAGAAGAAAATCATCTGGGTATATACAAGATGAAATGGCGCAATGCAATGTGAAGTTGAGTGCAAGGATTGTTCGGCGCAGACTGCAGGAATGTGGCCTAAAATCTAGAATTCCACAAAAAAAGCCACTTTTATCTCTCAAACAAAGGTTGAAAAGCATTACATTCTTGATTAAATCATCTTTCCATTGATATATAATTTTATGGTACTACTCAAAAAAAAAAAGTGGTGTTATTAGCCATCAAATCTCAAAAATACACTTTTCCCAAAAGGTTTCCACAATTTTGGCCACTACTGTAGCCCTAGAATTTGTCATGCTAAACTAGTCTTCAAAAGGAAGCAGAAAAGCTGAGCTTCTGTTTTAATAGAGCACAGCTTGAATGAACAGTAGGTAAATAAATTGAGTCGCAGCATGATGGAAGACAAATACTACTATACAGTAAAGCCTGTAAGTATGGATGGAGATATAGTCCAAGTTATCTTTTCAGTCCTGAAAATAGAATAAAAACATCACTAAAATAACAGAATGGAAACATTCAATTGCCTCTCATCACTACTGAGTTTCCCTCAAGATATGAAAAGAATTAAATGACTACCTTTTAGATTAAAAAAAGCAAGCCTACAGATCGTAGTCTTTACCACATGATTAAACTCCTTGCAAACTTTGAATGTTGTAGGGATTCTCATCAAGCCTTGCCTTTATTCTAACAATCATTAAGAAATGCATTTTCCTTTAGCTAAGGCACAAGTTTCTGTTCCAATAATTTGCTAACGATGTTCTGCACTCTACAGATGACTAAAGGAATCTCTTTAGAAGGAATAATAAATTAATATGTCTAACATTTACCTGCCACATTCAAATTGATTTCTGGAGGAGGGGGCACTGGAATAGAGAAAATGTAGTGGCTCCACAACATCAGGTTCTTCAATTAGGTAAATTTAATGGGAACCAAAGAGTGGGAGTTCAATTCATGCTAGCATGTTCAACTACATATTGCAGTTTTTTGAACCCAGGAATGTAATATAATTCAGAGGTAAGAAGACTTTCAAATAGCTCCATAATAAAAAGCAGTAGTTCACATGGAAGCCTCCTTACAAAAGACATGCCTTATGAAGCAAAGTTAACTTATGTCATATACAGTAACTTGAGCCAGTCATAAAAAAGTGCCCAACATATTTATTTTATAAATGCATAAGGCTGCCCAACTGTACATACAATGAGGCTGGATGTTGATACCAATAATAGGATGAATAAAAATCAAGTATCTTTTTTTAAAAAGGGTGTTTCTTCTATTTAAATAAGATTTTTTTAAAAAAATCTGTATCATAAAAATGAATATAATCAGGAACATAACTTCTAATAGATATTCTGTATTACTTTCTAAAATGGAGATTTTTCTTAAAAAAAATCACTATAAAATGGGAGGAAGAGAGCAGCGTCCTGCAGTCACATGACAACAATTTGTGACATTTTTTGCCAGTTTCCAGCATTTTCTGTGTGACATAAAATGGTTGGCACTTACAGATATGAACCAATTTACTCCTTTATTGAGAATGTGGCTTTTGGCAGGTATATACACCCACATATATGCACAATATAAATGTGCTCATTTATTCAGCCAGGAAAAGTCTCCAAAATTAGTTTCAGCCAGAGCCGAGAACTATAGGATGACAAACAGGAGAAGTTGAATGTTCAGCAGGATTTTTGTCTCTGTTATATTGCTATTTCTGTCTATTCTTGGGGAGGGTGAGAGAGCTCTTACATTCTGCTTGATAACTGATCTCTTTCTAAAAGTAAATGATAAAGGTGGTCAACTAATACAGGGATTTTGGAATAATGGAGAAAACTTTGGGAAGGACTATGGCTTTTGAACATATACCGTATATTCATGGCCAGGAGAAAGGCATTGAAAGCAAAATACAAAGTGAATTCCTACAATCCTGATCCTGAAGATTTGAGGATAAACTTCTGGTATATCAATCAATTCTAAACATGATAGCTGGCCATAAAACAGATCCTATTTGGGGCAAATTTTTATAAATAGTCTATAATTAGGGGTAAGAAACATTGCCCATTAAGATTAAATTTATCTGGAACAAAATCTGATTAATTAGTCTATATAATATGTACCTTCTAAAAATCAAATCTGCAAGTACTGTTGAATCCTGAAGAATATAAATTTGTGTTACTCCAAACAAAAATACATTTTATTAGAAATTATAGAGCCTTCCAGACTTGAGAATAATGGGTGAGTTAAATTTAAAATGAAATCTTCCCAACTAGTGATATAAACCATTATTTATATGAATCTGATGTAAATCTACCCTAATTTACAGGGCAATTTGCCCATATTCTGGGATCTTCTAAGGTCATAGAAAATGACTGAGCAAAAAGCCTTTCATTGATTCCTTACTAG